ATTTTGATTAATACAATGATAAATACATGTACTTGATTAGAACATTGTGTCGTGTCTCAAATAAAAGTGTAGTGTAGTAGAGATAGCATAGAGAAAGGCTGTTCACTCTAAGATCTCCAACTAGTGAGGGAAATTTTAGTTTTTAAGAACATGAAGGGGAAGATTATCAAACCAGGGAGATGTGTAGATTTGAAAGGATGGTATGGGATCTTAACTGTAACTTTGTTATACTGTTCGGCAATTTCAAGATGTTAATCACTAAATAAGGATAAATTCATTAAAAAAAATTAATAATTTTAACAGAGGTTTACGATTTTTTTGTAAACATTTTTTTCCATGTAGATAAAAGTCTTCAAAACGTTTTTCAACGTTTCTTCTCTGTCTTATGAGATTGTTTGATGACAAAATAATTTAGCTTGCTTTTATAGACTGATTTCATGAGGTATAACATTATATGAAAACTCGCAAAAGTAGAGTACTACAATTTATGTCTCTAATACTAGAGTTCCACGATCTCATACCTTCGCCAAATGAGGTTAGCCTTTATGGCTAAGATATTATAGATTAATCCCCCTGATTGTGAAAATAGGATCCTATATTGCATCAATTATATCTGTTGATCATATTCTACACCAGAACAGTCTTATCTTATCAAAGAATGCCATTATAGTATTTCCTCATAAATTATGCAAATGAGGTCCTTATTTGAATAAGTTATGTGCACCTAAAATATCGCCCCATGTCTTTGAATAAGTTATGTGAACATAATTAAGTTATGTTCACCTTTACATAACTTTCAAATATCCCAAGTTTGAAATTCCAGGCAGTTACCACTATCTAATTATAGCACTTTCTCATTAATTATCTAAATTGAGTCCTCATTTGCATAATTGATATCTGCCTGTATTTCTGCCGTTCTTAATTACATATGACACAAGCTTGAATAGTCCTATCATGGAATGCAGCTGATTTATGGAATTTCCTCATTAATCATGCAAATTACATTAATATTTGCATAGTTGTAATATCATTATGTCAAGCATCACTTCAGCTACCTACATGCCAAAAATCACGACGATCCATCAATCGGTTCTTGAGTTATGAGCCTTTAAACATGTTTTCAACTAACTTTTTCAGCTAGGGGGCTCAAACTTGTGTCACTTTATTCCCAGCCCAAGAGCTATCTACCATCTAAATTCCATGACCCTAGCATTTCCAGATCACGAGATATCAAAACCGGAAGTTCAGCTGCAGTACCATAACAAACCGCTAGGGGGTCCGAAATCTAACCAGTTCCGCGTCTCATGAAGACCTACCTACCTATCAAATATCAAGATAATCCATCTAAGCTTTCTCGAGTTATGCTGTTGACAGACAGACAGACAGACAGACACACGGCCAGCAAAACATAACCTTTGTGAATTCTTGGCGAATGTAACAAGACCGTGTGTACTACGAAAATGGCTGTTTAAATACATTGAAACTAGTATTCACCCTACAAGAACACACTGGAGGTGAGATTAAGACATGGGGCGATATTTGCCGCTGGATGCTGATTTACAGCATGTAGGCAGGGAGCCAGTCCGATTTACGGCTGTAACGAGCCTCGCTTTCGTGAGGAGCTTCGTTTCCATACCCTTTCTGTTTGATTCCATAATTATCGCAATAATGGATTTTCTGGGGCATGCCGAGCGCCCCTAGCGGTGACGTCATCGGTCTAGCCGCTCGGGACGCTTCACTGTTGGCGGCTTCGGAGCGATACCCGGAAGCGAAGTACACCGACAAGAACGTACCAAACACAGCCTATATCGGTTTAAATTAATACTGACATCGACCAACATCCAACACTTGGGTTTTACAGTAAGTAACTCGGCACAGAGCGGCCACTAAAACACCTCCTCCAGTGAAGCAGGGACTACCCCCGGTCGCGGAAGAACTGGGGTGTGCACCGATAAATTAGAGGTACCCTATGCAGTTTCAGGGCGATCGATCCCAGTGTATATTTACGGGCAAAAGTACGGGGTGATATTTTTGAGGTCCCAACAAATAAAGGATTGTTCATGTTTCTTATTTCTGCGTCGTTTTGAAAAGCCTAAAGCTATGAAATAATGATGTAAAATATGCTAAGAGGGGGAAGGATATGTCAATGTAGCCTTACAGATTATATTTCAAGTGTTAATGCACTGATACAACATTGGGTTGCCTTAAAAAGTATGGGGATCTTCTGTAGATATGTTTTCCTTATTTACTTTATTGTGTGCTTGTAACTTTAAAAATTCCAAATACTTGCATGAGCCTACTAGTATTATCATACCAATAATCCAACAACCCAACCCTGTCTGAAGGAACTACTCCGAA